GGGATTTCAATTAAGAAAATTGCCGAAAAAAGACATTTCTTTACTTTTTTCGTGTGGTTGATGTGAATCCTGTTCTAGAGAATGGTCCATGGTTTTTCGAGCAAATTGTGTTAGTTTTGCATGCTTTACAGGGAGGTGAGGTGCCATTGAAGGTTCCTCTTATCGAGTTTACAATTTTTGAATTTTTGAAGTAGATTTTTGGATTCAAGTTTACAATTTATCTATGAGTTTTTTTACTCTAAAGGTTGCAAAAAGGATTGCAAAAAGGTTGCAAAATTGGTTAAAATTGTGGACCGTCAATTTGAGAAGCTCTGGAGGCCGTATATGAGATTGAAAGTGTGTTTGGAAATAGGCAAAACTTTGAAGAGGAAATTGAAGTTAAAAAAAAAGATGACGAGTGGTTCTGGGTAGATCTCAAATATAAAAAATTACTAAATTTTTGCTTTGTTTGTGGTCTTATTGGACATGCAAATCATTTTTGTCCCTTAGAATATAACAAGGGAGTTGGTGAGTCAATCAAACCTTATGGTCCATGGCTAACAGTTTTAGGAGGCAAACTCAACTATAATAACTTTACAAAGGAAATCTTCCAAGAGTTCGAGGGAGGGAACAACCGCTAGTCAAGTGGAGGAACCGAAGAGATGACGTGTTTTGGAGTCTCAGGAGCAGGAAAATCAAGATGTATGTTGGTCTCATGGTGGTGGACGAGCAAAAAAACATGGAAGACGTGGGCTTGGATTTCTACGCTTGCCTAGTGCTTTTCTTAATAGTTCTTTTTCTTTCTCAATTATTTTTGTTTTTTTTTTTTTTGTGTAAGGTTTATTGTTGGTGTTTTGGCTTGGTGTTTTTGCCAATGGTCTCTCTCTTTTTATTTTTATTTTTGTTGAGGGTCAAGTTTAGGATAGGATAGTTGACAAGGATTCTAGGTCGATCATGATCGGCTTACAATTATCCATATGGGGATTAGCAAATTGATTCTTTTGAGATGGTTGATTCTAAAACTGGTCTAAGAGCGTATGATTTGTGGTTTTAGTAGTTTGTCTATTTTATGTGGTCTTGATGTCAGTTGTGAGGATTCTGATATTTTAATACAAGCCGGTTTTGTTAAAAAAAAATGACTTGTCGGGTTTTTAGCTTTAAAACCAAAAGTAGAAATTTTGCGGCAAATGAACTTGAATACACATATCCCAAGAAACCGATATTCGTAAAGCCTTCATCTCCACTTTCATACTAAATACGACCAAAATAGGAAAGTGTAGTGTGAAGACTAATTTCCTAGATGTATCTCTCATCACCGCCCCACCTGTAGCACCACCAGAGGAGAGAGATGCAACCACATTAAGTTTAAATCCCATCAGAGGTAACTACCGTTTCACATGTGAAGCTTAGTCGTGATAGATCAAAACGATTTTGGGATTAATTGTTCTTCCTTCACAAATCAAAACAATAGCCTGAATCGATCTTACAAAGTCTAGAGGACCAATCTTGTGCGTAAAGCCGAATTTGATGTATAACAAAATTGGTCGATGGAGATTCAACTAGATCTCCCAAATCAACTTAGCATAGGCATTCCAAATGTGCCATGCCACAATCCAAAATTGACTTAGAACCAGCCTGCAACCACCAAGAAATCATAATTTGACGCATATAATTAGGACCCGTAAGAGAAGCAATCTTGAAATGGAAGCAGTGCCGGTCCTACCTAAATTCGGGCCTGAGTCGAGCTTCATAAAATGGGCCATGTGCCTAATGTTTTTATTCATAAAAATTTAATGATTAAATATCGCAAAAACGCAATTCTTAAATAAAAGTCTTACACTGTAACAATGTAATGTTACAATTTACAAAAGTCGTACACTTTAAAAATGTAATGTTACATTTTGTGAGGATGTGCTTTCCGAAGTGGCTGCTTTATTCGAAATCAAGTACTTATTAATATCTCTTGCTTGACTTTGAGTTAATGATTCAATACGGGATTTATTTTTCCTCTTTTGAAATCCTTAACATATACGTAGTATAATTTAGGGAAAATGGAAACTAATAATCCAACCTTTTAACGGTCTTCTTACAATAGTCCCGCCTTTTGATTATTCATGAATAATCCAACATTTGCACCTCATCTTCATTCACTGGTCCCTGACCGGTTGATGACCTACCATTCCAAGTTATTTTCTTATCTTTGCAAACTATTATACCATAAATCTCACCTTTCACAAAGATAAGAAAATAACTTGGAATGGCAGGTCATCAACCGGTCAGGGACCAGTGAATGAAGATGAGGTGCAAAAGTTGGATTATTCATGAATAATCAAAAGGTGGGACTATTGTAAGAAGACCGCTAAAAGGTTGGATTATTAGTTTCCATTTTCCCTATAATTTATTGAAATCCTTAACAATATATACTAGTGATCTTCTCTACAATTCTACAAATACAAATTATATAATTTGATTAATTGTGAAGTGAGAATTCTATAATTGCAATATTGATAAACCTAAATAATAATAAAAACAATCAACTAGCATTTGAAAAATTACAAATTCACACATTTAACATTGAGCAAATCAATATAAAGTTAGAAAATTTCTGAAAAATACATAGATATAGGTATAATAGTAAAGTAAGAAAAAATGGGCCCCTAATTTTTTAGGTTTTTCGGGGCTCTGAGGCTTGGGCCTCTCTAGCCTTACATAAGGCACGGGCCTGATCATGGAAGGAATTTGTGCTATAATTTTCACTGAAATAGTTGTATGTTGATGTTTTGCTTCTTATTTCAGGAATGCTGAAAGGAGAATGCTTTACACTTGCTCCAACGGATCTCCTTGAAAGCAGAAGAAAGCGTAAAAGTTCCATTACTACTAGGTAACCAAATGCAACCCCCATTCACAGTTGAGGTTAATGACAGATCATATCTGTTAGTGGAACAAATCCTTTTCCAGATTATAGAATCAGTGGCTTTAGGTTTCAGATTATGACCTCTAAGATATCTAGCATGACAAAACATAGATTAGTGACTGTCTTTACATTTCCACTTCCACCATAACTTAAGAGAGCAAGCTCTTTCAATGTCAGTCAAGGATCTAACACCCAAACCACCATCTGCTGCAGGTAAATAGATGCCTTTCCACCTTAGCCAATGATAATTATGTTTATTAACAGTAAATCCCCACAAAAATGTGTCCATCTTTCTCCCAATCATCCTAATAAGTAATAATTGATTTGGGCAAGGTATCAACATCTAGAATATGTAAATGAAAAGTGCTAAGGATACGTTTGATCAGAATCAATCTCCCCCTTGATTCAAATTTCTTTGCTTCCAGGCATTTAACCTTTTATAAAAAACCTGAATAATATGTGCACATAATGTAACTTTGTTTATAGTTTATGAACGATTGACCCCAAATACTTCATAGGAATAGTACCTTTTATCATACCCAAGTTCTTTTCCAACTTCCTAATTGTGGTCGGGGAAATCTTCCCACACACGAAATTGCTTTTGTTGAAGTTTATTGCTTGATATAAATTATGTGAAATTTTTGAAAAGTCTATTAGTAATTTCGTTAGTGTCATTTTTTTGACTTTTTTTTCTCCGGGGTGGTGGTTGGGTGAGGGGGACCGGGGGGGCCTGGAGTAACCAAGGCTGAGCCATTGAGTTTCAAACTCGTATGTGCCTAGCGGGTTTTGAACTCAAGACCTCGTACGTGTCATTTACTATAACGAATTATTCTTTAATGTAGTAATCAGATTTGCCACTTAAATATGAAAATAATTTTATTTCTTTTTACAATATGTTGTTATGTGATGTGTACAATTTAGATTTTAAAATAAAACCCGTATTTTTGTGGAATTTTTATAAGAGATACACATACTTATAAGAGATACCACATTATACACAAACTTATTTATTCGTTTTTTAAAAGTTAAAATTTTCAACATTTTTCTATTTATGTTACTGAATAGAACGTGAATGTATTGAAATTCATTTAATTATCGTATCCCATTTAACTGATTAGGTTTGAAATTACGGAGTGCATAACAGTCTAATGAAATTGGAGTTACCTAACAAATTTTAGTAGGGGTGGGCGCGGTCCGGTTCGGTCCAATATTTGGCCGAACCCGTACCCGTACCGTTAATATTCAAACGGTTCAGTTCGGTTCGGTCCTAGATCTATACCCATTCGGTACAGTTCCATTTTCAAACGGGACGGTATGATGTCATACCAATATCAAACAATGCCACTTTTTTCAAGTGTTTAAGGGGAAATTAAAGTTTAGCCATTCTCCAAAAATTCACACATTTTATCAACTTTCATACTTCCTCCGTCCCAAATTTTATGCAAAGTCAATATTTTTTGGTCAACCAATGTCGAAGTTAAATCTTCTTTATTGATAATTAATTCAGTTTTTACCAATTAAAATTTACATATTCAAAAACTACATTAAAATTTCTTTAAAGTTGCAAACTCGAAATTAAATATAATTAAAATTTGACATTCTAATTAAGTGAATAAAATGAAACTATTTAACCAAGAAAAGTAAATTTTGCAAATCAATTTGGAACTGAGGTAGTACTGCATAATTAATAAATCTCAGATAAACTACATTAGTACTAATTTAAATAATTATACCTTATATCGATCCGGTTCCAGCCTTCCTATGAAATAGCAAAGACGCTGAAAGTATGAAAGCACTAGTCAAAGTAATGGTATAAACGTAAATTTAATTAATTATAAATACTTCGGTCCAGTTCGGTCTGGTAACGGTTCTCATTTTATGAGAACCGGTGATGACATTGTTTAGAACCGGTACGGTCCAGTTCGAGACAAAAAAATTGAGATCCGTTTTTCAAACCCTGTTTTTCGGTTCGGTACCATACCGGTTCGGTATTTTTGCCCACCCCTAAATTTTAGAAAGAAATATTCAAAATAATCTATAAATTATTTATAACCCCTTTCAGTCCAAACCCCTTTCCCAAACGCACCTTCACCTCATACGCGAACCATCTACGACACCCTTCACCTCATACGCGAGTCACTGTCTGACAGTATAAATCTATACATACAACAAAAATGAAAAAACATAAATCAATCTATACATCTCTCTATCTCTTTCTGCTAAAGCTTCCCGTCTCGTCTTTTTCTACCTTCCTTTTTCCTATCATTACCCATCCTCAGCGTACATCTATCTTCTTCTTCTCCGTTTCCAGTCTTCACAGTTTCCTCAATCAAGCTGGTGAGTAGTTGTTATAGGAGGGCTGCATTCTTGAAGAATTCACCAAGGATGCCACTGGAATTCGCTGCTTAGCCTTCCAATTTTACACTATGGGTGCTTGCACCTCCAAATCTAACAAACCCAATCCTTATTCTCTTCGTGAAACCCTAGAAGCGCCGCAAGTCCTAGAAACTCCGGCTCACGACGCCTCCAACTCCGGCAAGAAGTCTCCTTTCTTTCCGTTCTACAGCCCCAGCCCAGCGCACTATTTATTTTCGAAGAAATCTCCGGGACGGCGTTCTACGGCCTCCAAGAGTGATGGGTCCACGCCCGCTAGGTTGTTCAAGCGGCCTTTCCCGCCGCCGTCGCCGGCGAAGCATATAAAGTCGTTTCTTTTGCGGCGGCACGGGAGTGTGAAGCCCAATACACCGGCGATCCCTGAAGGCGAGGAGACGGAAGGGGCTGACTTGGACAAGAGTTTTGGGTTCGCAAAACATTTTACTAGTAGGTATGAGATCGGGGAAGAAGTTGGGCGAGGGCATTTTGGGTATACTTGCTCTGCTACCTGTAGAAAGGGTGACCTTAAGGGCCAACGAGTTGCTGTTAAAGTTATTCCCAAGTCCAAGGTCTCCCCGCCTCTCTGGCTCTTGCTTGATTTTGCTCAATTTTGTATTCGTATAAACTTTCGCGAGTTTTTGTGCTGTAAAAAGTGCACTGAGTTTGATCTTTTTTACTTGAATTGCCTAATAAACCATTTGAATTTCCCTTTTTGGGTACCTGGGTAATGATACATTAAAGTTTAAACCTTGATTGATCAAAATTCAAAAGGGACACTGTACACTCCTTTTTTGTTTCAAGGATTCATTCTTATAGTTATCTTGTAATGATGGATCTTTCAAATTAAAGAAGCTTTGACTAACCATACAGCTGGTCTAGGAACTCGCCACAGACTTTAAAAAAATGTGTTTCGTATGATATTTACAACTGTTTCACTTTTTCCACAATTTGAGCTTTAGTTGATGATATTGTTGCTCTTCATTGAGATCTGCATTTTCACCTTAAATGGCACACTGTTGCATCTTACTCTGATTTATTTATTGTTTGGCAGATGACAACAGCTATTGCAATTGAGGATGTAAGAAGGGAAGTAAAAATATTGAGAGCCTTGGCAGGACATAGTAATCTTGTTCAGTTTTATGATGCATTCGAAGATCAAGATAATGTTTATATAGTTATGGAGTAAGATTGTTAATCTTGAATCTAATTTGCCAATCATTTCCAGTTTTATGATGCTTTTGAAGATCAAGATAATGTTTATATAGTTTTGGAGTAAGAATGTTAATCTTGAATCTAATTTGCCATTCTGTTTTTTTCTTGTTGAATTTATTTCATACTGGTATTATAAAAAAAAGATCGATAACTGTTGGGGTTTGCCTATAGTTTTACTAAAATAGAACTCATGGACAAAAACATGACTAGATGGTCAAGTTCTGTGTGAAATTGAACACAGTGAGGTGTCTCTACAGTCAGTGCGAGAATACTATTATGGTCATTGCGTACTAAAAGTCTTATTTTTGTCAATTATTTTTTATTTTATTAGTTTATTTGTCATTATTCTTGATAAATTGTTTAACCTGGTCTTCATTACACCTTTTTCAGGTTGTGCCTTGGTGGAGAACTTCTAGATAGTATACTTTCAAGGTAATATTTTCTGCTTTTGAATTTTGATCTCATTGTTTTTTTTGGGAACATTCTTTTTCTTAAAGCATTTTATTATTGGTTCATTCGTAGGGGCGGAAAGTATACTGAAGATGAAGCAAGAGGTGTCATGATACAGATATTAAAGGTTGTTGCATTTTGTCACCTCCAAGGTGTGGTGCACCGTGATCTTAAACCTGAGGTAAAGAAGAAAAACGAACTTCAGTTCTGCTAGTAGATACATATTTAAAGAAGAAACATTTAACTGTAATGAGCTGCTCTTCTTGGCATTTCTGCTTAAGTTGTGTTGTTTTGTTTTGTCAGAATTTTCTGTTTTCTTCGAAGGATGAGAATTCCCAGTTGAAAGCTATAGACTTTGGGTTATCAGATTTTGTCCGGCCAGGTGAATTTTCTCGCATGGAGTTTTGGATATCTTATTTTGTCATTAAGGTTGAATACCACACATTGATTGTCCATTGGGTTTCCATCTAGTATATGAGTGTGAGGTAAACATCATCTCTTGGGGAGTTGGGGTCTGTTTGGAACTCAGAAAATGCTAGGGAAAGAAAACAAGAAGGAAAGTAGGTAGGAAATTTTGAAGGAAAGAAAATGTGCAGGGAAATAAAAATTTGCTTTGAACTCCATAGATTGATTTTAGGTATTTGTTAGAACTCTTTTTATTATATTTTACAAGAAATAGGAAGCCTAAATATATATAACATTTAAAATGTTCTAATCAAATTCCTATTTGGTTCAAACACTAAATATGCAGATGAAAAACTGAATGATATTGTTGGGAGCGCGTACTATGTTGCACCTGAAGTTCTACAGAGATCATATGGTACAGAGGCTGATGTTTGGAGTGTCGGGGTGATAGCATACATTCTGTTATGCGGCAGTCGTCCATTCTGGGCTCGCACAGAGTCTGGAATCTTCCGGGCGGTCTTGAAGACTGATCCCGGTTTTGATGAAGCACCTTGGCCTTTGTTATCTTTAGAGGCTAAAGACTTTGTCAAGTGGATGTTAAATAAGGATCCTCGACGAAGAATGTCGGCTGCTCAAGCCTTGTGTGAGTTTTAACTTTTCCTCCTAATAATTTTTTAATTTTCATATTTTTTTATTTCATTTTTGTGTGACAGACATTTTTCGGTGTTTCAGGTCATCCTTGGATCCGGGATCACAGTGATGCAAAAGTGCCTCTTGATATTCTTGTATTCAGACTCATGAAGAGCTATATGAGGTCGTCTTCATTGCGTAAGGCCGCTTTAAGGGTAAGTTCCTTCAAATTCTCAAGTGCAGAGCCAAGTTTGGTGCCTAGAAAATTAAAGCAGTGTGAGAATTTTGTGTGTGTGTTTGGTTTGACTTTTGAAGTATAAGAAATAATCAAATCTGGTTGGAATTGTTTTTAATAAAATTGACATATGTTTAGGTTTTTAGTCTTTATTTAGTAAAACTATATAAATAAAATACATCTGAGTATGATTTTTTCAATGTGAACCTCTTTTGGTTTTAAAAGCTTCCCCCAAATTTCCACTCTTTCCTGATTTCCCTTCTTATTTTCATTTACTTGACATTTTCAGGTCTTTCCCCTACAAATTACACTTTTATTCTTCAACATTGACAAAATTGACATATTTTTTGGTGGGAAAAAGTCAGTGAACCAAGTTAAAATACATCACTGCCCCTCTTTAATTAAAGCAGTGTATGTTTGAAATGGCAAATAGTGTATTTTGATACCCTTTCCCCTCTATGCATACCCTGTCGCAATTCTTTTTAAAAACATCTTAAAATGGTCAAAAATAGAAACTTCTTAAAACCCTCACTTACGCATACTTTTTCAACACAAAATTGTCTGTTAGCAGAATTATTAAATGATGATTGATACATCGTGCTGGGAATCTCTTTCTCTCTCCCCCATTTTCTTCCTCTTTCTGTTTTTTGTTTGAATTATGCTGAAACTCTGTTATCCCTTGTCAGGCATTGGCCAAAACATTGTCGGAAGATGCACTCTTCTATCTAAAGGAGCAATTTGCTTTACTGGATCCGGACAAAAACGGCACTATAAAATTTGATAACATCAAAACTGTAATTACATATCATCCCTTTGTCATTTCATTTCCTTAAGAAGAAACATTTACTGATTATTATGATTTTGAACAGGCTCTGTTGAAAAATGCAACAAATGCCATGAAGGAATCACGTGCACCAGATTTACTTGCTGCAGTACGTATTATAATCAATCGTTCTGTTTTTGACTCATTGATCAATTAGGACGAAGAATAAGCGCTTGTGATTTGTGACACAGCTAAACGCGCTCCAGTACAGAAGAATGGACTTCGAAGAGTTCTGTGCGGCAGCGCTGAGTGTGCATCAGTTGGAGGCTGTCGACCGTTGGGAGCAACGCGCTCACTCGGCATATGACTTTTTTGACAAGGATGGAAACCGAGCCATCATGATTGAGGAACTGGCTTCAGTAAGTTGAACTATTAGTTTTTCACGACTTCAGTTTTTATTATTAAGATATTTTGTGTATTTTGAACTACTATATTGTGCTCTTGAACAAAAATTTTGGGGCCGTCAAGTTGTTTTCACTTGGACTGGTTTAAAATGCAAACCAAGTTGCAAAGATTAGGATGTTTTTACTTAGATTAGTTTCAGTCCTAGAACAAACTTGACCAGACTATGACAATGTTAAATATACATAGACTAGATATCTATCGGGCTAGTTCAAACCAGATGAGTCAAGAAAATTTCAATCCAATTAAAAACATTCTTAAACTAGATCAGACTGACCAAACTATACATCGTATCAAACCTTATTAGGCCAGATTAGAAATTTTTAGTCAAAATGAACACATCATAACATTACCCCAGTGCCGCAAAGGCTCCCACTTACGGTGGGGTAAAGGGGGGTCGGATGTGGGCAACCTTACCTCTATATTGAAACACATAGAGACAATTTTCAGATATCCCATGATGAAAATTGTATGGATTGATTATTCTTTCATAACAAAGAAAGAACCGCAGACGCGTAATCATCAACATCATATTATTATTTGCAGGAACTGGGACTAAGTCCTTCAGTGCCAGTGCATGCAGTCCTCCATGACTGGATAAGGCATACAGATGGGAAGCTAAGCTTTCTAGGTTTTGTCAAATTGCTGCATGGTCCCTCTGCCAGAACACTTGTCAAGGTCCAGTAAACAAAAACAAAACAATAGCAGAACTTCTTGAGGACACGCGGCAGCAGAGAATCTTCTAGTCTATTAAGAAGCTCATTGTTCACATTTTCTATTCTTTTTTATTTATTGATAGTCCAAAGGTTTGTCTAATGTGTTAGCTCCCACACGATCTCAGATTGGCATATCTCATCTGATCTTCTCCCACGTGGTCCAAATTACTACTGTCTATAGACTCCGGTCTGTCCGATTGGACCGTGATTGCATTTGGAATCTGTGTACGAATATGTACATCAGTACATGTAAATTAGAGTTCTATGTATATGTGTTGTTAAGATGTAGGATTTGTATTATGCAAACATTGCACATTCACAGAGAGAAGAACGTTCATACATCTCAATGTTATTGGTTATTTTTGTAACTTTACATATTTATACCTAGGTAGGTAATTGCTTGGCTAAATTAAACAGGAATGACCAATTTTTTTTACTCCATCTGCCTATTTTGGATTGTCAAAAATAAATGTTCATATAAATTCACTTTGTTTTGCTTAAATTTCAGATCACTTTTAATAAATGTGTCAAGCTGAAACAACATAAAATGGAACACCGGCAATACTGTTAACATATAAAATTGCAAATTGTGTTCAATTTACACCGCAATTGATTACTAAGCACCACTCGAAATGCTTACTTTCTTAAGGTGACAATATTTTATTCTGGCTTTCATTTATTAAAATGACCTTGAACTCTGTGTTCAAAACTAACAACTGAAGTAAAACAAACATCGGAGACAATCTGCCTTTGCCCTCTCTTATTAAATAATTCTCATCGTGGTTTGTTTTAAAAATGAATTTAATCAAAATAAAATAGATAAGTTATCAATTTGAGACTTGAAAAATGAAATGTATCGGTATAGGATCGAATGATTGAAAACTATCAATCTTGAAGCTAAATTGTCATGAATTTTAATATAACTTCTTTTAAAATTTAACATATTATTTATTTTTATTAAACTACTAGACATTTGCGAGGAAAATTCATCACAAAGTAGCAATGCAATTAATAAAAATAAATACATCAACCAAATCCTATGGGAATTAAGTCCTATATTGATAATTCATCTATCTTTCAGATCATAGATTGGTAAATTTCCTTTTTAAAACTGCCATCTATGAGGCTCACATTATATAACATATAAAGGATGTGTTTGGCATTTAGCGGTTAGCGAGTTGTCAATAGCGAATTCAATCAGCAAGTTTGACTAACGGAAGATGTTTGATAATTTAGCTGTTTGGGCATAACAATTAGTAGAAAACTCTACATTTCAGAACGCAAACCCAAAACTTTTATATTTGTGGCGTTTCCATTTCAATGATTCTGTCCAAAAATGGCAGGACCTAATAATTAGCTATCAAACATCATTTTCACTTATTGAAAACGCTTAAAGGGATCAAACCACCATTTTCTACTGAAACACCATTTTTCAAACACCAACAGGCAAGCTGTTAGCGGCTCTGCAAAATGAGTCTAGAAAAGGGTTTTGTGCAAGGGCAAATTGTGTTTACCATTTTAACAAGAGACTACGACAACACCGTAATTGATTTGCTTTCCTTCTAGTTATATAACATGTACTCCGTATCAAACAAATAACAGCAAAAAAACTATGTCAAACAAATAACAGCAAAAAAACTATGTCAAACAAATAACAGCCAAGGCTTCCCTTCTAGTTCTAACATATGTAAAAAAAACTGAAACCATATAACCACGCGGAACAGACTATAGTTCATGCACTTGACAGTTAACATCTGCTTTAAAATAATTCACTTCGACAATAATGCCCTTGTTAAGTTTTGCTTCTCACTTGCTGCTTTTGGGGCTTCTCTCAAGCCTCTTTAAGTCAAATATGGTACTTTTTGTTAAATAATTCTATTCCTTTATGACACAAAAAAAGATATTCCAATTTGTGCAGCTGACTCATGCTTTACTTCTACTGCCAGTATTTTATCAAAATTGGGCTCCTTTCAGACAAATATGATACTCCTATTACGCGTTTTTATTAAATAATTTTATTACTTTTATGTTTTAACACAAACAAAGATATTCCTATTTATGCAACTGAATCATGCTTTACTTCTATTGGCAGTAATATATTAGAATTAAAGAAACCAGGCTCCCTCTAAACCACAAGGATTCACTATTGAGTATTTGATACAGAAGTACAAGGCAAATGGTCTGAAAAGAAGCAAAGGATTTCCCCCCACTCGGGAAACCATCTAATGTTATTAAACTTCTCTTAAAAATATTTCAGTTGCACAAACAACTACAGTAAATAATCTAATACAACACATGGGAGCTTTTAAAATGGGAAATAAGTTAAAAAAAACCTATAGCACGCTTACACCAACGCATTAAATTTATCTGGAAGAAGAGAGGTGTTGATACAAGTCATCAGCCAATGCCTGCCTCATACTTTCACCATAATAATGGAAACTCTTCTCATTCTCCAAAATCCTTTGTTGTGAAGTTCCATTCTCCTCCGGTTCCTTCCACAGCTCCGGTTCAGGTTCCCTTGCAATCTGGCACAAGTTATGCAGGACACAACAGGCAACAATCGTTTGAGGCGCATGTGTTAGGCCAACATTCAAGTCCTGCAGAATCTTCCACCTCCCCTTCAACAACCCAATAGCTTCCTCTACCGTCTTCCTTCCCTTCACCAGCATTTCATCAAACACATTCTGTGCAGAACTTCCAGACCCATTCCCAGAAAAGGGAGTGAGCAAGAATGACAACAATGGGAAACCCCAATCCCCAATTATATAGGGTCTCAAATTCAACCCACTCACATTCATTGCCTTGTCCCAAACAATGTCACCTGAGATTAATCTATTGTACAACAAGCTATCCCTGAAATGGGTGGCATCGTCAAACCCTCCAGGAGCTTTCACACAAACATCCCAAAAAACTTTCTTGTGATCCGCCACAACCTGAAGCAAAATTGAGGGGAATCCATGCCGACAGAAGTACATTGAGGAGTTGATGGTGTCTGAGGGGAGATGATGAAGTCTCACCGGGGTTCCATCAATGGCTCCACATATATTGGGCAGAAAGGTGAGTTCTTGGAAACCCTGGGTGGTTTCCACCAGCCGGCGGCGACTCACTGGAATCTTTATGAACTCAGGGTAGAGCTTTGTAGCCAAGAGGCGAGTGACCATGTTGGTAATTTTGGAAATCAGGTACGGCTCGAGCCCATAACGAGAGGCTAGGGTTTTAGCCGAGAGGCCATGGGATAGTCTGGACAGAACCATAGCTACAGCATAATCGGACGGGAGAGAAAGCTGGGATTGGGTAATGTAGGGTTTGAGCTTATCGACTACTGTGGTAAACACTGGGTAAGAAAGACCATACAGAGATCTCCACTGCGCGTCACGGAGGGGAGCTTCCATAGCCCATATGTGCTCCGTCGACAGCGCACGGAACGCGGCGACGGAGAATTCGGCCGCCGAAGGGGAGGATGGGGATTTGGGCCTTTTCTTAGGTGGATGGGAAGCGATGTAAGAGAGCACGGATGCTATTGTGAAGAACAGAAGAGGAGCGGCGGATGACGAGGTGAGGAGTGACGTCGGAGATGCGGATGATGCGGCGGAGGAGGCGGAGTCCGAGAGGAGGGAGGTGGCTGGGTCTAGGTGGTTCTGGAGGTGGAGTAGATTTGAGAGCATAAGCAGGAATGGCTGATCCATTGCTCTCCCTTTGCTGGGAAGAAGCTCTGGTTCGGGTAATGACTGATGAGAGAGGCTGGATGGGCGATTTGGTTTTGGTTCCCCGACGGCGGTTGCGCCAATCTCCGGTGGATGATAGGAGATGATAAGAATTGCAGCATACGACGACGTATAATGTGCCCCTAAAGTCCACACCAGATTGTTGCTGATGTGTCAAATAAACGGAAGAAAAGTTCTTGCAAGTTGCACATGCCTACAAAATTAGAAAAACGCTAAAATTCCCTCTTATACTAATTTTATTTATAGAGATTTCAATTTAGTTTTTGAATAAATAAATCTTAATTACTAAAATTTATTTAACTATCTGCACAAATGTTTTAACTTTATCAGTAGTTAACCTTGAAATTCGTTGATAGAGTATTAATTCTAGAGAGAAGTGAGAGCTAGAGAGAGAAAGTGAGTAATTGTATTTCTCAACCCCCTATAACTAGCCCCAAGGGGTCTATTTATAGGTAAAAATGTGGATTTGGGCCCCTAGCCATGAGCTTAGGAGGCCCATTACAATAATCATGCCTCTTTTGGGCGAAATAGGGCCACTAATGGGCTGTGTACAATACTTAGCAAATAAAGTAGAGAGATGCATTCTGCCAGGCCGAACTCTGGCCGATGCGGAACCCTTTGGCCGATGCGGTCTCATGGCCGATACGGTCCATGGGCCGATGCGACCCCCGGGAGTCCAGATGCGATTCCTGGGCCGGTTTGGTTTCTGGCCGATGCGGACCCACTGGCCGAAGGGGCCACGTGGGTGTTCTTTTGGTCGCCGTTGACTTGAGTATGCGGGCCGTGGGGTCCAGGTCCATATACTCTATCAGGAGTCCCCCACTCTCTGAGCTGTGGTGAAGCCGAAGCGAAAGGGAGTACCTGTTCCTTTCTGGCTGGCCGTTGCGTGAGTCTAAGGCGTTTGATGGCCGAAGAGTTCCTGCTTTGATTTTGGACGAAGCGGTTCCCTTATTTGATGTAGAAGAAGCGTGCTTGGGAACTCATAGCCTCGATGCGGGCCGATGCACACTCTGTGGGAGTGCCTTTGAAGACGAGGCGATGCGCTTTCTTTTTGTAGATGATGCGATGAATCCTTGGTGGATAAGTTGGCATGCTTTCCTCGTTATCTTGTTGGGGCCGAAGAGCTCCCATTTATCCTTTTGGCCGTAGCGAAGACCTATTTTCATGAGATGAAGATGGTTGATTCTGTTTATGTAGACGATGCGATGCGCACCTTTGATTTGTTATGCGGCCGAAGCGTTTTGACTTGTGAGTTTTTGTTATGGTGAGACGATGCGGTCTTCTCAGTGTACGCAGCCGTTGCGATCCTCTTGTATTGGTGGACGTAGCACTGCTAGCGAATAAGCCGATGCGCGCTGCTCTATGTTGTGTGGCTGATTTAGTGATTTTATAGCCAACGCAATCCTTAGTATTTTGATGGCTAGCCGATGCGATCCTCAATGCATCTGAGGCAAGTTGTCCTTTGTTATTGGCGAGCCGTAGCGCACCCTTTTTGCATTAAGGCCGTTGCGCTCTCTCTTCTTGTGGCCGACACAGTTCCTCCAGCGCATGTGGCCGTTGCAGGCTGGACTTTGTTTTTGGGTTTTTAATTTCTTGGGCTCTTTAGCCGATGCGATCTGTAATGCTATTGAGGTGAATGTTTTCTGTAGCGAATCCTCCGTGTGTTGAGGCCGTCGCGTTCCCATTTACGCTGTTCTCCTTTTTCTGTAGCCGCTACAGTCCCCCAGTCCCCCACTCCTTTGGCCGAAGAGTACTTGAGGCACAAGGGAGTCATGGTGTACCCAAGCCGATACGATACCTTTGCGCTAGTCGTGAGTCCAACCCTTAGGCGAACCTGTCCAAGGTAACCCTGTGGGAGAACCCTTGGACGAAGGCCGCAATACCAGGGTCATCATCAATCGATGTGCGCGTGGGTAGACGTAGCGGTACTTGTGGTTCTTGGGGTTGCTTTGGGGCCGTAGCGTGTTTTGCTGATGCGGCCATGCCTTTGATAAAATTGGGCCGTAGCGAGTTTCTCTTTGTTTTTGAGTGAGTAGGCCGGTGGCTTACCCTAGTCTCGGGGCCTTTTGGGCCGTAGCGGTGGCCCTAGAGTGGAATGTGAAAAGACAGGTGCTGATTGGTTCTAGGAGAGGCGCCGCTGGGGTGGCCAATTGGAGATTGCCACGTGTAGTGACCGTTGGAGGGGTGCCTATAAATACCCCTCAACTCCGAGGCGATACCTCATTTGTGCTTTTGCTGTTTGTCGAATTGCTGCCCAATTTTCTAGAGAGAGAAAGCTCCCAAGGTTTCTTCAAGTGTTCATCAACCTCCCTTCGGATCTTCAAATCTTCAAGGTCAGATTCTTGCCTGTTCTTCTTTATTTTCTTATACTTTGCTTCCTAGGGGGTTAGATCTAGTGTTTGTAGGGAAATCACTTTGATCCGAAAAACCGCCCTTAGGAATAGGTGTAGGTGTTATGCCGTTCTCTAACGGCCGTAGCGTTCCCTCCCCCATTGATTTAACAGCTTCGTTGGACGAAGAGGACTGGCCTTTTGACGAGGAAGATACATCGCCTCGGATTAATTTGGCTCTTGTGGACGAGCTAGCCGTCGAGATGGAGAACACGGCTGATTATCGTACCTCGGTGGACGAGGAACGTCTGAGCGACGATGCGGGTGCTCAGAACTCTGGTGAGGACGAAGCGACGTCCAATTCGCCTCTGAGGGGGGATGGGGCCTCCTCATCGGCCAATATTCCCTGCCCCCCTCCGATATCTTCCGTGGCAGGAGAGGGTCCCTCGGCTCCCAAGACGAAGAAACCGTATCGGCGGAAGCAGCGCAGGGGGGTGCCGCAGGGGTTTTCTCAGCTAGATCTTAGCAACTTGTACATCATTCGGCCGGAAGGGACCCTCGGCGAGTATCATGTCGCCCAGTTGTATGTGGGGCCATATGGGCGGGTTCGAGCGCCGAAGCCGACGGATCATGTGCTGAATCCCCCACTGGATTATTTCGGGATTTATCCGATGAGCTTTGCGAAGGGTCTAAGGTTCCCCCTTCATCCCTTCATAACGGAATACTTGAACATGGTGGGCCTCCCTCCGGCGTTGTTGACCCCAAATAGCTATTCTTTGATCGTTGGCTTCCTGATCCGGTGCGCTGAGTTGGGCATCTCGGCGACGATGGGTTTATTTATGAATCTGTATAGGATAGGCCGAGGGAGCCACCAGAATTGCGCCGGTTATGCAGCCCTGCAGCAGGTTCCCAAAAGGAGGACGTTCACAGATCTGCCTTCGTCCATCCATGGTTGGAAGGCGAAGTTTGTCTTTGTTACCCTGGGCCGAGGCGGGTTCTTCCCGTCCGTTGGTCATGACGGCATGTTTGAATTGCACAATCCCCCTTGGAACGCTGAAATAAGTAACCAAGTGGAGGCTTTTATCAAGGGCGGGCCGAGGAGTATAAAGACATATGTGACGGAGTATAAGATGGCCGCCCTTGGCTTCGTGAGGTACTATTGTCCTGGTGATGTGGACGATGGCTTCTGGCCGAAGATCACCGGTTCTTATGAGCAGGCCGATGGGCCTCGTCTTGGTGTTCCCGCTGAAGCCGAAGGTTGTTCTTCAATTATTCACCCTTCTCGTAGCTTTTTTAGTTATTGCTTTACTGATGTTCATTTGTTTTGTGCAGGTTTTGTTATGGACCGCGTATCTTTTATGGCTCGAGCTGCCAAGAAGGCCGATGCGGAGCTTAAGGCTGCCCGAGCTGCCGAGAAAGCAAAGGCCTCTGCTGGCGGTTCTCAAGGAGGGGGCGAGGCCGTTAAGAAGGCTGCTCCCAAGAAGAAGAGAGGAGCCGATGAAGGCCAGAGAACGTTGGCCGAAGCGGGTCTGAAACCACAGGCCCCAAAGAAGCCGAAGAGGGTTTCAACGACTGATGAGGCCGGCGCTCCTTCTCAGGCTGTCGTGGACATTCAGCCACCGGTGGTCCCTCCCGCGAATGAGCCTCCTTCCTCGGCCGTGGTGGCTTCGGCTTCCCGCGTGCTTCCCTCTACGGCTGCTGCTGCCCGTCTAGAGGAGGCCCTTGCCAAAGGGACGTACGAGGTAACAGTGCGTTACCCTGTGAAGGGCGGTCTTTTTAACGAGACCGTCAGTGGCGACGATGTGCTTGCTCAGGCTATGCCTGAATATGACCGACAGTACCTCAGCCGGCAAGGCAAGCATGTCCATTTGTACGATGGGGGTTTGGACTATGTCGTCCAGGTAATTTCTTTTCCTTGTGATTTCTCCTTTGATTTTTTTGTTTTTCATTTTTTGACTTTGACTTTTCGCTTCGTCCAGGGTGCCCTTATGCTAAGGGAGCAACACTGGAGGCAGGAGGCTGAGATAGAGCGCCTGAAGAAGGTGGAGGAGAAGGCTGTTTCGGCCGATGAGGCCCTCCAGGACTTGAGGGATAAGGCCAAGGCTGCGGAGGATGAGATGAAGCTCCTTCAGCTGCGTCTTGATGAGGCCGAGGCGGCCCAGAAGAAAACCGATGAGGCTATTGCCGCTGCCATCCAAAGAGCCGAGGAAGCGGAGCGGCTCAAGGCTGACGCTGAGAAGGCCGCTGAAAAAGCCGTTGCTGATTTCAAGGCCGAGGGATGGAAAGCCGAAGATCAGATCCCCTTCTGCTACGAAGTGGTGGCCGAGAGGCTCACTGATTGGGTGACCAAGGACCCTGCCGGCGAGGACTTCTGGATGAAGGAGACGCGGGCGTTCTACAACTGCGGTCAGTACAGGATGCAAAGGCTGATTTATAGGAAGCTTCGTCGTCGCTTCCGGAAGATGAGGCCGAGGGGTTTGAGCCTACCCCGGCGGATGAGAAATCCTGATGAGGATATGAAGCTCCCCCCGTCGGAGAGGCAGCCTCCAATTCTCAGTTCGGACGAGGGGGAAGCGTCTTGGAGTGAAAGTGACGATTATCTGCTCGAGGGCTCTGCCGATTCCAAGGCCGATGAAGATGATGACGCCGAAACCAGTAGCGGTGGCGGGGAGGACGTCGGCCAGAGCAAAGAGCAAGCCGATGAGGCAGCGTAGTTTTGTAGGCTTTTTTATTACTTTTGTAATTTTAGCATCGAAGTGCATGTAACGGCCGAAGCGCCCACCTCTTGTATCTTTTCATCCATTAATGATAATCTTTTTGTCACCATGATCCCCTCGTCGTCTTTGTAGTTAAGTATGTTTGCTCTTGTGTCAAGGCTCCGTCTCGAGGTTG